TATAAATGAATTTTTTTTATAAATTTCAAAATAAAAAAAATATATTTTTTTTGAAATTGCAGGTGAAGCAGCGCTTCACCTGCGTCATGGGGCGAGCCGCCACTGGTGTCAAGACATTTTTTAAAAGCCTACTCTATAAATGCGCCTTACGACACATTTCGAGTATATTTTTTTGATAAAATACTTCTACAAAAAACAATAATAGACAGTTGTTTTTTTGGTGATGACAGTTAAATTAAAAAAAATATGTTAATTCCAAGCTTAATGTTTGGATCCTATACATGCTCGCAATAATTTTGCATACTTATTGAACATTTCGTAAAACCACAAATCATTTATTCTTAACGTGTGTGCTCGGCGTTCTGGAACGCGATCACGTGGAGTATACGTGAATATGTTTAGGTTTGGTCTCATTCTTCGATGGATACATAATAGATGTGAGGCATTGCGAAAATGTTTGACGTGTGATGCGTCATTCCTATTTTTTTCTGTGATCTGGCTTAATTGCACACAACGAGGGCGCGATGATCATTTCCCTTAATGCTCCTCAAATTTTTTGAGAACACAAAAAATGGGAAAAATCGTAATTTATAACTTTGAACATAACGTGTCTTCAGAAAGGTCAACATATAAATAACCCGTTGGACACAGCCAACAGATATACTTCATTGGCAGCTTATACAGTAATACTTTTCTCGAACAGTAAATAACACATAATCATCCAGATGCGATCTTGCCAGTCAACCAACTTTTTTTATTTGACTTATTCTCTACAGATTAGTCGTCTTCACAAAACATATAATTGCTTTCTGCAACCAACAATGCGTGTAGTTGAGTCATTCCTCCATAGATAGACGCTCACAGCGATCATAGAGAGCAAACGTGGAATGAACTACTTACACTCTAAAAACTATCTAGTCTGCAAGATATTGGTTCTTGTTCTTGTTGACGTTTTATAGATTTCTTACATAATAATGATAATTTGTTGCTTGGAGCAAATATAGGTGTGGACCGACCTTAACAAAATCAGTAAAACTAAAATTATCTGGAAACCTGGCAACACTTTGGTTGTCGGGCGAATGACGTGCTAATGACGTTGACGTCATTTCCGGCATCTTCCCATTTCTGCTGTGCTAGAAGTTTGTCTATTTGTGCTCGATAATTTTTATCCTTTTGACTGTATTTTCGGATTAAAATTCAGAAATCACCGTATAATCATCCCAACCAAGCATCAAGGATGTCTTACTCAACAAGGAGAAGTGGTGCGTACAGTAAGTCTTAGTTTTTTCAAAATTTCATTTTAGCAGTATGAGCGGCGTTTCGGTATCGATTCACAAAATGGCGTAGATTGTCAGATTTTTATTTATTTTTAATTTTCTCCTACAGGCCAACAGCCTCAACAACCGCAGCAAACTGTTGGCGCCGTTGGGCAGCGTAGGCCTGTCGTAACCAACAATTTTGTATCTGGTGGAACCGTAAGTAGTTTTTGTTTAAAAATTAGATAAAAGTCGACGGTTTTGAGACCAAGAGTGCTCATGGAATTTATCCGATCACGTAAATGGTACGATTTAGAGGCTATGCCCAAAATTTGTGAGTTATAGCAATCTCGAAGTTTTGCAAATTCTTTTTGATACTTTTTAAATACTGACCTCATTATGTACAGTTGAATCTAGGGATGGTGAGTCATGACCATAGCGTTTCATATCGAATATTAAATAAGATGGTGTTGGTCAGTGTAGTGTCTCGCTATAATGCTAAATAAATAGGAAGCGATAGTTAGCCTTCTATACGAACGTTTTGTGTTACCCGGCTGTCAATATTTGACTAAAATCCTATGTTATAGATAGCATACAATTTTATTTCAATTTAGAAATTTTGTTCCAGTAAACATAACAAAATGAAATGCAAAAATATAAAAGAAACATTCTAAAGCTAAGAAGTGCAAATCAATGTATATAATGTGATTTAATAAGTATTATAATGCTATTTAAGAAGTTGGTCCAATTTCTCAGCATGATGGGTTTCAAAAAATCATGAAGTACAATAACTCTTGTTACAAGAAGTGCACTGAAATTTTTGCTTTGTGCGTTTTTTCAACTAAATTCCTCCTTAGCTCCTCATTGATTTTTTGCATGCACTTGAGGTTTGTTATTTATACCCCAAAGTTATTCTGCTGAAAGCTCCCTGAAGTCTGTAATTTCAATTTTATTTTGTGTTACTTCTTTATAACAAATGCATTGACCAATGTGGAACCTAAAACAAATTCAGTTGATAGTTTCTGGTACCAGTTGTTGCCCCTTCTAAGACAACGTGAATAAGTTTTTAGCTGATCTGACAAGTCAATATAAGCTTTCTATTTATTGTAATCAACTATAGCTTGTTGTTTTTATCTTATGTTTGCCTACCACATAAACAGAGCAAATAACAACTCGGCATCTTCGAAGTGCACTCAACACCAGTAACATCATCATACACAATTAGATCTGAAAAATGTGGCATCACATACCCTATATGTCAGTAAGGAAGCCATAACATATACAAGTTCAGAATATAAACCTTTTTTTTTTTTAGTTTTTCATGGTCTATCAGATGATATATTATGAATCTGAATAATCATATACATAAAAAAGCAATTCAAAAAAGAAATGAAAATCAAGTTGCCAAAATTAATGGGTGGTCTTTTTATCCCAGATACTACTACCGTCTGTTATAAAGGCATTGCGATTCAAGGATTCTGTAAAGAGTTTCAGTAATTTGACAGAAGGTATCATCATCGTGCTCTGTCAAAGAACATTAGAACTACCACCAATTACTACAGTTTAGTCCCATGTGTATCGCTTGAGGCATATATCGACATTTAGACAGTGACAAATTGTGATCATGTAAGAGTGCTTATTCTAGATATGGTGGGCTCAATCACCTTGTAGTTTATCAAGGGAACCTGCAACATTGTGGCGAATGCCATAAAAAAGTTCAGTTTCGCTGCAGAAAATGTAGTGTTCCACTACATCCTAAAATGTGTTTCGAACAGTATCATACCGAATAGTTATTTGTTTTGTCTTGCAGTATGTGTCCTTGAAATAAAATTTGTATCAGCAGGTCATTTTACTACTGTCCTTTTTAAAGAACACCTGGTAACTTCGTTAGGGATAAAAAAGTTCATAAACTGGTTTGGGTTGTTGAAATGGAGTCTATTTACTGTACTCTCACTAAGTTATCCGCAAATATTGGGAAAAAAAGGTTTCAGTAATATCTGGGTTAATATACAGCTTTTTTCACAATTCATGAAACAAGTATCAAATATGACTGTCCATTGGTGTTTTATATCATAGTGGTGAAAAAATATAAATATACCAGGTTCTACAAAACCTTCATATCTCTTGATGCTGTTTGCTTCAGGATGTGATGACCACAAATGGCATACCTAAATACATACTTATAGCATATTCAGCGGTAAATTTAAGGTGCACTCTTGTCTCAAGACCTTTAAACCCCACTTTTACTACTTATAGAAAATATATATTAACATTTTTAGTTTGATGAGTTGTAAGCATTTTATTTCTTTATTTTGATATTAACACAAAAATTGGGGTTTGTATTGAAGAGAAACAGTGATGTATTGAGGACCTATAGAAAAGATGTAAATGCCTAAAACCCGTTACAGGATTTCTTGGAAGAGTGAAAAAAGACCCTCTTTACACCTCTGGTAGGCCAGTTAATAGAAAAATATTTTGGAATAAGGATCTTTATAAGAAACTATTCATAGTTCATTAAAGATATGTATGAGTGGGTTCTTGTGAATATTTGTCAGATAATTCTATTGACTGGTCTGTATAAGGAGACAAAACAGTTTTTTTTTGTGTGATTCTAACACAATTTTTTATGTAGGTACTCTCACCGAGTAAATGCTATGCAGAGCCATGGTAGTCGCACTCATATAGGGCACTCGATGAATACAGTTTGCAGAGTACACATTATGAGTGACATTGAGGCCGTTGTTTAAAATTATTGGTACATAAGGTCTGACTAGTTGGCAGGAATTATGTACTTGTATACAGGTTGAATCAGAGTAGTTTTGGAAAATGAAACTACCTTGTTTATGTAGAATACAAAGAATAATTGTGGGTCATCCTGTATACTAAATTGGCACTAAAGATGTTATTGTACTCTTAATGTTTGCTCTGTTAACTGGTACCTTGTATCTTGACTTCATTTTTGCGTTGTTTTCTTTTTGGGCTACTAATGGTTCATTAACTTTGTCATCTTATTAGAACCTTTTTTTATTTTGTTTGGTGATAAACCATTATTAGTCAGATTGCATGCAAATACTAATCACTTTTACTATTCCATCAGAAGTTATGTTTAACCAATGGAATGGTCTTCAACTTTACATTTTTGATCAGTAAGCTAAATATGCTTGAAATATTCCCTAGTATGAATAATTTTACTATTTCTTATCAATCACAAATAGTGAAATTATTAATGTGAAATGTTTCAAGTGTATTCAGTAAACAAGTAATTTCTTATGGTTGTATTGGTGATTAGTATTATACACAATCAAATTAGGGTCAAGATACTTAAATGCAAGATATCTTTAGCTGTATGATGCTCTTATAGACCAGTATGGGTAAGTCTTGTTGAAGTTTCAGGGAAATATTACAATTTTTCAAAGGAAGTATCATAGTACTCATGTGCTAGGGAGTTATGATTAGATTTATGTAACTATGGAGTATAGTATTGAGTGTCAGATGAAAAATTTCATTGCAAATCTGATGATAAGGTCATCATCTACCTTGCACTGAGTACTATGATACTGGTGTGATATTTCTCTTGACATTTCTCAAGATAACTAGCCAAAATAGTCGGTCTATTAGATGTGTATCTCAGATAAAGATGCACCTATATTGGTGCCACGAACCTTTCGAGGTTTATTTTTGACAAACAAAAAAAACCTGCTCACGTAGCTGTCTAACCAGACTCAACAAGCTGCCAAAACACCTGCCCAAGCCCAACAACAGGCCCAGAGGACTCCACAACAGCAAAATACCAACATTCAGTTTAGAAATCAGCAGACCCCACAGGTTTGTAAATGGCCATTTCATAAAATTCCAGATCAAACTTGGATTTTCATTTGAATGTATGTGGAACATTGACTGGATGCAAATGTGACTCAAACTGCTGCAGCCTCTTATTTGACTTTATAGGCTAACCTCAGTAACTTTCAAAGCAATTGTTTCCTTCATGATTTGTAATTCTTGTTTATGTGTTTTCCCCTTGAGAGTTCCATAGATACCTTCAGTTTAAATAAAACAAAATTTTTGTTTGGTTTTGAAGGACATCTGTGTAGGTATGCATTTTTAGTTTCCATGCCTTGTTATATGGTTGTTTAAAAACTTTGAGATGTTTTGCATCACTCCAACTGATAATTGCAAAATTTGGGGTGATTGTGACTGGTAGGCTTACAGTTCATTTGGATTTAACCATTGCATAGGTTTCTAAAGTGACTTGGGGTGAAAATTTGGGTAGGAAATACGCTCACTGGGAATCCGTCTTTGAGTTTAGCTCTAAATTTACACCAGAATCACAATAGCCGCACCCTATTTAGTCATGATATAAATGTACTTCCTTATAACAGAAATGCAAGGATTTTTGAAAATGTGCAAATGAAACTGTACACTTGGAACTTTTGGCGGAAAGGCGTCATCGAGACAAATTTGGTTGAAATTATAACTTCTCCGTGTCCGCGCCGGTTACATTAATGGCATTGCGGTGAATGTTCCATTTTTCTGCGTGACTACTTGTAAACGAGATCTTATACATTTCGGTAATTTGGAACACATAAAATAATTATGAACTGTTGAAAGTTTGTGGTGGACAATGTCTGGATCGTCGCTTCAGTCTCAACGCGAAACTGACATCAGATTTGGAATATACACGCCCGATTTGTCTAAATAATAGTCCTTCAGCAATTGTCACACATTTCATTTTATATAAACTATATGGTTTTGATGTGCAACAATGTTATTTTCTTTCTCTTTGTTTGCAATTGTGCTATTGTATTCGCAATTTGAATAGTTTCAAAAAATTCTATTAGGGTTGAAGTTGTGGTAGAAAATACTTACATACTTCTATTTCTAGTTGTTAACCTCAAAAGTAAGGTTGTTATTTTTTTAAAAGTAAACCAAGCTATTCCAATATATTATACAAATACAGGGTGCACTACATTTTATGTTGGTATGTAAACATGAAATTACTTTGAAAATGATAAACTGATTTCAATATATTGGGTATTTTTATTAAATATGGTCCTTTACAATTTATTGGAACTAGTTTTTGAACACAACTGCACCTTATAAGGAAACAAATGCAAATCATCCTTCAAAATGGGCCGCAACGAGGTTCCACTGATGCCAAAATGCCGAGTGCTGTGACGATACGACACATTTGAGTTCTGGGCAACGCTGTCTCTGACCGCTTCAACCAATTCATTGGAATGTCTTGGTCGTTGATGAACGGTATGTTGACGATCTCCCACTGTCCCGTACTCAAGAAAATTCGAAACCAAACGACGGATAGTGTTGTCACGATATTTTCGACGATATGGACGTTGCGTTAACACGACTGAACGACGATTTTCAATGTACATTGTGACTATTTTTCGGCGCGTTCTTTCGGAGTAACAATAAGTGACTAAAATTGTAGTAAATCGACGTTTCAGAAACTCGTATAACCAAATCACTCGGTTAGTAAATATAAAAGTCATTCGATCTTTCAATACCGACATAAAAGGTGGCGCACCCGGTACATCATTATAATAATGATGTGAATACCATTTACAGAGCAAAAAGCAGTCTAGCTTACCTGGTAGTTACAGCTCAAAATTAAAATATCTTAAAAAGAACAAATAGAAGAAAAATAGAAAACAAAATTATAAAGTTTAAACATTGGTTTTTGCGTACCATATCATGCCAGCAAAAAACGAATGTTACGCTTTTTTTTTCTTGTTTTTGTCCCTATCTCTGTCACCACTGGACCGAATTTCAAAATCTGTATACCTTGGGAGTCCTTGGCATAGTAATAACACCATAAAAATTCATCGAAATCCGAGTTGTACGTCTCATGTTATAAGGTGGTTTTAATATTAGCAGACAGTCGACAATGTACATGACATACATAACATCAAAAAAAAAATCTCATTTTAGAATAATTTCACTAGTCCAATACTTCCCTGCCACTAGGCGATTATGTAAAATAATATAATGTAGCTTATAACGGTGTATAAATTATTGGATATGTGTACTATTAAAAAAATATACCTTGCTGACCCCACATACTAACTCAAAACTCATACACAGAAACCAGCTGTACCACAGCAGCAGCAAACAGCTGCCCAAAAGACAGCTGCTCAGCAACAGGCGGCCGCAGCAGCTGCTCAGCAACAGGCGGCCGCAGCAGCTGCAGCCCAACAGCAAGCTCAGCAGCAGGCAGCTGCTGCTGCTGCGGCGACAGCTGCTGCTGCTGCGGCGACAGCTGCTAAGGCCGGGTTCGCACCAGGCGTCAATCCGCCTAACCCGGGTGTCAAGATGGAGGTCCAAAATGGCGGCGCACCAGCTGCGGAAGGCGGTGATGATGTCTTGGAGACGACTGGCGTTGAGGGACAGAAGAAGAGGCCTTTCTGGGCTAGAAGTGGAGGTAAGTATATTTTGTTAACAATTCACAGTCAATATATCTATATGAATCAACTTGGATCATGTGCCGTGAATGATCAGCAAGTCTAAGTCTCACCTGCAGGCAGATAATTTTGGTGGCTAAAGCTTGGGTTGTTTGTAATTGATTCATATAATTTGCATTAAATGAATGCTAACAACACTCCCAACATTCAAGTTGCATGCTGACAGGAAAACTGGAGCGAAGAGAACCCGAGTGACATTTATACCTGACATATGCGTTGGTTTTCATTTGATTGTGTGTACACGAACCTTGCGGAAGTGCTTCATTTCACGCTTCTCTTTTCATCAATACGCATTCACCTTGATGTGCCCTTTCATTAGCTTACTTAAAACTATATTCCAGCATCCAAAAATTACGCCAGTTATATGGTCTCTGAGTTATCAACCTTATCAAAGTAGATTTGTAATTATTGCAGAGAGGAGAAACATAGCTGTGACATTCTCGTTGATGAAGTCATGGTATCTCATTTCATCTCTGACAATTTTAGAAACGCGGGAATACACAGGATGTCCCAGTACTCCGGCGACATAGAAGTACCACGTACAGGGTCCGTCAGACAGAACGCATGTTTTTCGAATGGGTACTACATCGAGTTTGCTGGTCCCGTGTCGGTGGGAACGGGCGTGTTGGATACTGGAAGAAATGCCGTTTCAGTTGGCAAGTTGGTTTGGAACGTTCAGCATCGTGTGTTAACTGTACGTCGGTACTTTCAAAATGGCGAGTCTGTCGTTCGATCGCAACAGTTGCGTGAGCACCCGCTGCATATCCCGAAAGTTACAGTTTGGTGTGCAGTAGGCCGAACGATGATTATTGGCCTTTATTTACATGCTGAACAACTTTTTTCCGGAACTTCGACGTCGACGTGTCCGTCTCAGAACAGTGTGGTTCCAACAAGACGGGACAACATCTCACGCAGCTCGCACTTCGATGGAACTTCTTAGGCAAAAATTACCAGGACGTCTCATTTCACGTCATGGCGATATTCCATGGCCCCCTCGCTCCCCGGCCATGTCAACGTGTGATTTTTTTTATGGGGCTACCTGAAATCTAAAGTTTACCAAAGCAAGCCTCGGACCCTCGTAGATTTGAAGAAGGAAATAAGAAGAGAAGTAACCCCAATTCCTGCACAGATGCTGGCCGACGCAATGGGCTCATTTCGGGAGAGGCTTGATTCCTGCATTTCGGCTCAGTTTTTAGAACGTAAATTTTGTTTTACTCAAAAAAAATGGCACATATTTCTGAGTATTTTGATATAATGAAATATTTTTCCCATACTTATTTTGACTGTACCACTCATTTAAAAAACATGCGTTCTTCCTGATGGACCCTGTATTTTTAGACTCAAAATAAGTCTCGTTTGGACATGATTGTCCTCTATGTAAAAGTGCTTCGTCTGTCCTTTAGAGAGCGTGAAAGTTTTCTTTTTAAAACACATTTTTTTCATATATTTTTGCAACCATTTAAATGAAATTTCATTCATCATGCAACTAATTTTTTTCTCTAATATCATCCGAGATGGTCTGATTTATAACAGACAAAAAGCGAAGCAAGTAAAAACATCTGATAATTAAAAAAAAATAGTATGACAATTTGGCGTTCATAGGGATTGATTACATCTTACATGTGATGACAAATCACTGCGCAAATCTGATGCTCCGCACCAACCTTGTGTTGTAGCTGCTGTGCTTATGATAATACAGTCTCTGATAATATTACAGTACCATACACAATTATTCCTGCAAACACTTCTCATTAATTTGTCTAACATATATTTTATTTTTTTCAGCCAAGATCTCAAAGAAGGAGAAACTAAGGAGGCGTAATCTGAGGTTGAGCAAGATGTTGCAACCCAAGAATGCTGTAATGATTCTGAATGAGCTGGTGAGGCAAACTGCTTACACTGTCGATGAAATGCCACCAGGTACTGACAGGAGAACTGCATTCAAAGTCACTGTTGTGGTTGATGGAGTTGAACATATTGGATATGGTAAGTGCTTATATGCAAAAAGTAATTTGTGAACACCCTTATCCATTTTGTAAAAGATATTTTTCATGTAGTTTCTGATTCACTAACATTGACAAATGCAATTCTGAACCACATGGAGTCAGCAGGGTAAACAGTCACCAAGTTTACTTAGCGTTACACCTGTGGAAGATAATTTGGCCGAGCGATTTTCATTCGACTGCTCGTTTTGGGTAGTTTTTTGAACTTATCGCTTGGCTTTACGCACCCGAGAGTAGGTCTGGTTTTTTTTTTGGAATCGGACCATAGTAGAGGGGCAGACAGTCATTTTCACAGTTTCATCTATCAAATGTCAATGTTGTATGACTAGAATAAAAGATCAACTGTGCAAGCTTGATCCACAAATTTAAATCTCGTAAATCTTTAAAAAAAAATTTTTTTTGTTACAGGGCACACGAAAAATGCTGCAAAGAACGCCGCTGCGGAAATGGCGCTGAAATATGTGGTGAAAAACAACAAATTGTCCGAAGTTAAACAGGATGAAGATGGAGTAGAGAAAATGGAGATTACCGAAGATGATGTCAACCAACCATTGCCATGGCAACATGTTGCTTCATTTGCTCTCTTCAAGCTGTTCACTTCTTGGGGAGAGGATGCTGGTGCTATTAAGGTAACTATCAAGGTTTTCCAAAGCAGTAGTTCTAGGGTATATATTAATTAAAAATGTTTCCCAGATATAAGCATTGGTTCACACATTCTCCAAGATAGCCAGCCATGTTGCCAAGTATGATTGCAGTAATTCCCTCTGAATAAAAGCAGATTCCATTTTTGTTTTAAAGGGAATTTTTATCCTAAATCTAACGTCAATCTTCCAAGAAATTGTGCTATTTCCTTTAATCCCTTTGTAGTTACTCCTGATTGCATGTTCTCAGATTTTCTCAAAGGCAGGAAAAGAAGTCGCATAACGTGTGGCAATAACCTAAAAGGTGTAACACTTTTATACAATGATTTACCTGCCATAGTAAAAAAATGCAAAATTCAGATTTTCGCCGATGACACTATGATTTATATAAGTACTAAAAATATTCAGTCTGGTATCTCTTATATAAATGAAGACTTGAAACTTGTCTCAAAATGGTTAGCATCTAACAGACTAAAATTAAATACAAGTAAAACGAAAGCCTTGTTAATTGGAAAAAACAATGTACAAATGTTCAACTGAATATTGATGAAGATATTGAATTCGTAGAAAATTTTAAATACCTGGGGGTTTTTGTTGACTTTCGATTAATTTTTGATGTTCATTATGAAAAAGTTATAAATAAGATTAGTAGTAAAGTGGGATATTTATCGAGAGTTCCTGGATGTCTGAGTTCATATATCAGAAAAATTATCTATAATACCATCATTCTTCCAAATGTCTTGTACTGTTCGACTATTCTATATTTAGCAAATAATTCCATTTTTGAAAGACTAGCAAATTTTACAAAATAAATGCATGAGAATAATACTAAATAAAGATAAATATACTCCAATTAGGCAAATGCTTAGCAAATTAAAATGGCTCAATGTAAAAATTTTTATCAAATATCTTGTAATGATATTCATTTATAAAGTAAAAACTAATATATTTCCATCAAGTCTAACTAATTTAACATCATCAAATGTCGACCATCATTTACATAATACAAGAAATAAAGATGACTTCCATTTAATGACCAAAAAGTATAACATATGCTACAAATCTGTATTCCATCAAGTGTTGATTGAATATAATAAATTATACTCAGAGATAAAAGACCAGAAAACTTTGACAAAATTTAAAGTAAAATTGAGAAATCACTTGTTAAATCTACAATTTATTATAGGTTGCCAAGCATTTACATCATATGGCTTGAATTTACTAGTTCTAAGTTGTTTACAATTATTCTGTTTATGTAGCCAAATGTAAATCTTTATACTACGACTACTACTGACACCTAAAGGCGATGGCCAAGTCGTTTTAGGAAATGAGGCAATATTTCTACGAGTCCAAACAACTAAATATTCGGACACTTTTAAATTTTGTGCAAATTGTTCTATAAAATAGCAGAACAAGATAGTAAACTTGTACCGAAAACTTTTATTGATAGTTTATACAAAATGTGACCTGTTTTCGATAAAATTTGTTTTTCTTGATAAGTAATTTAAATTAACAAAAAAAAAACTAAGCTTCTCAAAAATATGTGGCAACTATATGGTCTCCTTTCTCACGAAGTGTCCTAACTGACAAAATACAAAAAATTGAGATAACCCACATATAGGTGTATTATTCCATGCCGGTTAATCTGACGAAGAGGCATAACTATATAGCTTTTAGTGTAGGCAACATATCATTAACCCCTGGGTGTCTTATCTACAAAGGTAAATATATAATTCCCACGAAGAGACCTAAATGACCACCTCGGTGGTCGAATCATGGCCAAAGTGCAATTCATACTGCAATAAAGGGAGCTGGAGATCTCTTTGAACCCTCACAACTCTATCCGGTTTTTCGATCTAGCAACCCCAATGAATTTTTTTGACTTCAAGAAACTTTCAAAAGATGTAAGAGTGTTGCTCTCACGGCAGACTGAGAAAGGGCAGAATATTAAATGAACGGGTATTATGGAGTTTATGGTAAGAAAAGGCATGTCCACCAAAATATTTTTCAAGTCTAGCTACTAAGATACTAGTTGACTGTATCGAGTTAAAAAGACTGATGACAAAAAGTATTAATATAAATGATATTAAACTAGAACAACTTAAATAAGGAACCAGTAAAGATAACAAAAAAGAAGTACTCCGACTTAATTTCATTATGTGAAAATCCAACACCTGTTGTACGCTCATCAAAATTCCAAAACTTCTTTAGAAAATTGCCCCATGAAACGGAATGAATTATTAACATCTCTGCCTTTGTTTTTTTGTGTATGATAATACATCAACAGTAGCTACTAATATGTTAAAAAGATAATGTTGAAATTAGTTGCTTTTCTTTTAATAAAAATCACTTTGGGGTTTGAGATGTGTTCTTCATCTCATCGCCTAATATTTGTGTCATTATCTACATCAGTTTTAGGCATGGACATTCAGGGAAATTTTGTACGGGGGAATCCAAAATTCAAAAGTCGATCTGAACTTTTTTACGTAAACTCTTCTGTTAGCAGACCAACGATTACTTAACGAATTAAACAATGAAGAAATTTTGTGAGATAATCGCCCCCTTGGCTGGAAATATGATTCTTTGTTTATAAGTAAATGACATAAATCCTGTATATCTTAAAAAAGTATAATAAGAACTTTAATAAAAATATATTTTAGCTCTATCTGACAGGAAGCTTCTGAAAATTCTCACGAAGTGACCTACGTGCGTTTTCCAATTTCTTCCAAATTAACTTGATAAGCTACCGCAAATATTGAAACAGCATATGATCGACAATCAATATGGGCTGATACAGTGAAATTTTCAATACGGAACTATCTAAACTTTTCATACAACGCTCAATTAACCGCACGCTGATTTCGTTTTATTGCCTTCCTGTAAAATTTACTAAACGTTGGTTAGGACACTCTGTGAGAAAGCCGACGATATATTCGGACACTACAAAATGTAACTTAATAACTTGTTACGTCATCTTTTGCCTTAATTACCGCCTGAATTCTTGCAGGCATGGTCTTAACTAATGCTTGACACTTTTCGTGTGTAAAAGAATTCCAAATTTCTTGCAATTTCACACGCAGTTCATTGATTGTATTTTTTTTCAGAACGCTTTGCTTGGTAATCTAGGTGGAACCAACACCGCACAAACTGGCGGCTCAATTGCCGGTGATCAACCTATAGAGATGAAGCCAGCGAAGAAAATGCCCGTCAATCCGGAACTTATGAACCCGCTCATGTTGCTCAATCAAATGATGCCTCATGTGCAGTTTGAAGAAATTGGAAAAGCTGGAGCCCCACCAAATATCACTTTCACTTTCAAGTGCTCCGTGAATGGGCAGTCATATACTGGATCAGGTAAAAAATATCGAATTTCTTACCACCAGTGAATTTGGATACTGTAAGGTGATGGGACAGAAATTTCATCGTAACCTATATTCTGAATTATGAAGCATAATTCTTCATACCATTAAATGTTTCATACTTTGAGCATTATACAGGGTGCGGCAGACAGGATGGACGGTTTTAAAAAAATTATAAAATAGTTAATTTCTACTCGAAAACAAATTTATTGATGGAATCAGGTTCACAAGGAAATATCATTTGAGACAAGTCAAGTGTGGAAAATCACATCAGGCATGTGGTGGCCGAAATCGTTGACGCAGTGCTGGAGGCGTTTTTGGAAGTTCGCGTAGACTCTCCAACATCGCCCTCTCAACTTGGGCGACTTCCACGCGAATTTCGCCCTTCAATTCGTCTAGAGTTCGGGGCTTGTGAAAGTGGGCTTCGTCACTCATAAACAAAATGAGGTTCTCATTTTGATCGATCAGTGCTTCCATCTCACGTGCGAAGTTCATTCGTTGTGCATAATCTCCGTTATGTAACTGTTGCACAATGGCCAATTTGTAGGGGTGAAAGCGGAGATCCATATGCAAAATTCGCCTTACCAAACGATCACTAAGGCGAAGTGCAGCAGCATGTTTCCGGGCAGATCGAATCGGACTGCGAAGAAAGACCTGTCGAACGCGTTCAACATTTTCAGGAGTTCTAACTGTTCGCGGCGCTCCTCTTGGTCTTCTGTTGATCAGTTCACCACGCCTGCGAAGTGATTCAACCCAACGAAGGATGGTGTTTCGAGAGGGAACAGCTCTATTCCGATGAATGTTGAAGTGGCGACGAAACTCACGCTGTACGACAATGACTGACTCATTATTTCGGACGAAACAATCATAGGCGAAAACGCTGTGCTCCACCGTCCAAGGCTCCATAACGACAACTGGTAAAATAATGCTAGGATCTCACGAGTCAAACGGCAGCCTCCCCACCTCTCTCGTAGACGGAGGCGGAGAGTACTACCCATCCCAAAAACGTCCGTCCTCTCTGCCGCTCCCTGTATAACCATTGATTAACATATTCTCCAATAAGATGCCCCTGAGCCTCCCTCGCAATTATTTTTAAAATTTCGTTTTCTCGAAATTTCTCGACGACGGAAAAGGAAAGCGCATGACCTATGGCAACAATCTGAGAGATGGCAACGCTGACACCGAAACACGGTGGTCGACACGGCGAGGTGGCAGAATATCTTACCTGTGTATATTTTCGAGCATGCTCTGCTTCAAATTTCATTGAAGATTTGGTGGAATATGTTAACCATGTTACAACAGGCTGCATCGTTTTTGACGGATGTTTTTTTGTTTGTTACAGGTTCAAGTAAAAAAACGGCAAAGAAGATGGCGGCGTTTGCAGTATGCCATTCTGTATTGGGTGTCAACTATCCACCTGATGTGTACCAGCCAAGCGCTTAAAAGAATTTATAGCTCATCGCTTAATAATTTATCTGTAAGAATCGGAAATATATTTGTTTATTTCATCCCCTCCATGTCGTGTACGGCATCTTATATTCAGTTGTATTGTGTGATATCTAATGAATTGATAAGCGAAGATTTTGTCGTTCGAAAAAGTATTGCTTTATGCGTCAGATTATTAGGTTTTAAGTGATCGTTTTTTTGTATTTTTTTTAATAGCTTAGAAATACATATAGATACACCTTAAGGAAAATACTTGTTTCTATTGAACATATTCCCTTTTCACCTTATACCTGAAACCACAAAAATGATGAAATCGGATTAAAAACTAGGCGTCATATCGAACAGAATATAATATATTTTATATATATTCGGCAAGTGCTCCCGCCAATTGATTTCTGAGGAAAGTGATGGCGGATGTGCCAATTTTCGTCGTTGAAGACTTAGGATTACAGAAACGAGAGATGTTTACCCCAATTGATATCAGGATCCAAATTTTTTTTCTCATCTCGACGCGTTTCTGTTATTCTTGTAACAAATGGAGTTTCTATGCTTGCTGCTCATCGATTTTGAGGAAAGTGATAGCTCGATGTGTCAATGTCAACTTGTCAACTGTAAGAAATTTGTGGCTAGTCCGTGGTACACTGAGTCCATTGCTGGACAACTGTCATTTGTCATGAATGAGTGATGTCAATCTTGTCAAGGGACAGATTAAGATGTTGCGAAGGATGGAGATGAATTATTATGTAGTCCCATTATGCGAGTGATTATGAAGATAAATCATTAAAAATACAAGTGATCCGAGCCCCTCTAGTGTTTTCATTACCAGCACCCCTCACACAGCCACTGATTATTTTGTATTAGGATCAGAAACAACGAGAGGTGTTCGCTTCAAGTGATATCAGGATACAATTTTTTCCCTACCTCCACGTTTTTGTTATCCTGCTAAATTGAATTTCTATGCTAGTTGCACATCAACTTTGATGCTTCTATGAAGAAAGCGATGGCTCGATGTGTCAAGTTCAGCAGTTGATTTTGTATTAGGATCACAGAAACAACGAGAGTTGTTCGCTCCAACTGATATCAGGATCAAATTTTTTTGAGTTACCTCTTCGCGTGTCTGTTATCCTGACAACAAACTGACTTCGTAGGCTTGCTACTCATCAATTTTGACGCTTCTACAAGGAAAGTGATGGCTCGATGTGTCAATTTCGGCCGCTTAAGACTGCATTAGGATTTCAGAAACGAGAGGTGTTAGCTTTAATTGCTATCAGGATCGAAAAATCTTCGCGTTTCTGTTATCCTGATAACCAATTGGCTTTGTATGCTTGCTCCTCATCAAGTTTGATGCTTCTATGAGGAAAGTGATGGCTCGATGTGTCAGTTTGAGACGTTGAAGATTTTGTATTAGGATCCCAGAAACGCCGAGAGGTGTTCGCTCCAACTTATATTAGGACCCACTTTTTTATCTATCCTCTCGCGTTTCTGTTATCCTGCTAGCAGATTAAGTTTCCATGGTTGCTGCTCATCCATTTTGACGCTTCTGTGAGGAAAGTGATGACTCGATGTGATAATTTCAGCCGTTCACGATTTTGTATTAGGATCGCAGAAACGGCGAGAGGTGTTCGCTACAACTTATACTAGGACCCACTTTTTTGTATCTACCTCCTCGCGTTTCTGTTATCCTGATAACAAATTGAGTTTCATGCTTGCTGCTCATCAATTTTGACGCATCTATGAGGAAAGTGATGGCTCGATGTGACAATTTCATCCGTTCACGATTTTGTATTAGGATCGCAGAAACGGCGAGAGGTATTCGCTACAACTTATACTAGGACCCACTTTTTTGTATCTACCTCCTCGCGTTTCTGTTATCCTGATAACAAATTGAGTTTCATGCTTGCTGCTCATCAATTTTGACGCATCTATGAGGAAAGTGATGGCTCGATGTGACAATTTCATCCGTTCACGATTTTGTATTAGGATCGCAGAAACGGCGAGAGGTGTTCTCTTCAACTGATATCAGGATCCAAATTTTTCCCTACCTCCGCGATTCTGTTATCCTGATAGCAAATTGAGTTTCTATGCTTGCTGCTCATCAATTTTGACGCTTCTATGAGGAAAGTGATGGCTCGATGTGACAATTTCATCCGTTCACGATTTTGTATTAGGATCGCAGGCACGGCGAGAGGTGTTCCCTTCAACTTATATTAGGACCCACTTCTTTGTATCTACCCCCTCGCGTTTCTGTTGTCCTGATAGCAAATTGAGTTTCTATGCTTGCTGCTCATCAATTTTGACGCATCTATGAGGAAAGTGATGGCTCGATCTGACAATTTCAGCCGTTGAAGATTTTGTATTGGGATTGCAGAAATATCGAGAGGTGTTCGCTTCAATTGCTATCAGGGTCCAAAAGTGTTTCCCTACCTCTTCGCGTTTCTGTGATCCTAATAAGAAATTGACTTCGTAGGCTTGCTACTCTTCAATTTTGACGCTTATATGTGGAAAGTGATGGCTCAATGTGACAGTTTCATCTGTTCACGATTTAGTATTAGGATCACAGAAACGGCGAGACGTGTTCGCTCCAACTTATATTAGGATCCATTTTTTGTATATACCCCTCGCGTTTCTGTTATCCTGATAGCAAATTGAGTTTCTATGCTTGCTGCTCATGAATTTTGACGCTTCTACGAGGAAAGTGATGGCTCGATGTGGCAATTTCACCCGTTCACGATTTTGTATTAGGATCACAGAAACGGCGAGACGTGTTCGCTCCAACTTATATTAGGATCCATTTTTTGTATATACTCCTCGCGTTTCTGTTATCCTGGTAGCAAATCGAGTTTCTATGCTTGCTGCTCATCAATTTTGACGCTTCTATGAGGAAAGTGATGGCTCGATGTGACAATTTCAGCCGTTGAAGATTTTGTATTGGGATTGCAGAAATATCGAGAGGTGTTCGCTTCAATTGCTATCAGGGTCCAAAAGTGTTTCCCTACCTCTTCGCGTTTCTGTTATCCTAATAAGAAATTGACTTCGTAGGCTTGCTACTCTTCAATTTTGACGCTTATATGAGGAAAGTCATGGTTCAATGTGTCAGTTTGAGACGTTGAAGATCTTGTATTAGGATCGCAGACACGGCGAGGGGTGTTCTCTTCAACTGATATCAGGATCCAAATTTCTTCCCTACCTCCGCGTTTCTGTTATTCTAATAGCAAATTGAGTTTCTATGCTTGCTGCTCATCAATTTTGATGCTTCTATGAGGAAAGTGATGGCTTGATGTGACAATTTCATTCGTTGACGATTTTGTATTAGGATCACAGAAACGGCAAGGCGTGTTCGCTCCAACTTATATTACGATCCATTTTTTGTATCTACCCTCTCGTGTTTCTGTTATCCTGATAGCAAATTGAGTTTATGCTTGCTGCTCATCAAGTTTGATGCTTCTATGAGGAAAGTGATGGCTCGATGTGTCAGTTTGAGAGGTTGAAGATTTTGTATTAGGATCGCAGAAACGGCGAGAGGTGTTCTCTTCAACTGATATCAGGTTCCAAATTTTTCCCTACCTCCGCGTTTCTGTTATTCTAATAGCAAATTGCGTTTCTATGCTTGCTGCTCATCAATTTTGACGCTTCTATGAGGAAAGTGATGGCTCAATGTGACAATTTCATCCGTTCACGATTTTGTATTAGGATCACAGAAACGGCGAGACGTGTTCGCTCCAACTTATATTACGATCCATTTTTTGTATCTACCCCCTCGCGTTTCTGTTATCCTGATAGCAAATTGAGTTTATGCTTGCTGCTCATCAATTTTGACGCATCTACGAGGAAAGTGATGGGCTCAATGTGACAATTTTGTATTAGGGTCGTAGAAACGGCGAGAGATGTTCGCTTCAACTTATATTAGGACCCACTTTTTTGTATCTACCCACTCGCGTTTCTGTTATCCTGATAGCAAATCGAGTTTCTATGCTTGCTGCTCATCAATTTTGACGCATCTATATGGCTCGATGTGACAATTTCATCCGTTCAGGATTGTGTATTAGGATCGCAGACACGGCGAGAGGTGTTTCTTCAACTGATATCGAGATCCAAATTTCTTACCTACCTCCGCGTTTCTGTTATTCTAATAGCAAATTGAGTTTCTATGCTTGCTCCTCATCAATTTTGATGCTTCTATGAGGAAAGTGATGACTCGATGTGCCAGTTTGAGCCGTTGAAGATTTTGTATAAGGATCGCAGAGACAACGAGAAGTGTTCGCTCCAACTGATATCAGGATCTAAATTTTTCTACAACTCTTCACGTTTATGTTATCCTGATAAATTGTGTTACTATGCTTGCTACTAATAAATGTTGACACTTCTATGAGGAAAGTGATGGCCCGATGTGCCCATTTTAGCCTTTGAAGAGTTTATATTAGGCTAGCAGAAACAGCGAGAGGTGTTCGATCCATCTGATATTAGGATCCAATTTTTTACCCAGCTCTTCGCGTTTCGGTTATGATAAATTGAGTTTCTATATTTGCTTCTAATGAATTCTGACGTTTCTTCGGGTTTGAATATTTTGTATTAGGATCGCAGAAGCAGTGAAAGATGTTCGCTCCAACTGCTATTAAGGTCCAAATCTTTTCTCTGCGTCCTCGCGTTTCTGTTATCCTGATAGAAAATCGCTAAAAATGAATTTCTACTTTCTGGGAATAAAGACTGTCTCGATTTGTGGATTTTGGTTGCACATTTTGTGTTAGGGTCGCAGGAAGGACGAGATGTGTTCTCAACCAATTGATATCAGGAGCAAAATATTTTTCCATACCTTCTGGCGTTTCTGTTCTCCTGATGGAAAATTGAGTTTTTAAACTTTTTCAGAGAAATTCTGATGGCTCGCGTTTTTTATTTTGTTTGCAGAAGATTTTGGATTAATAATAATTGAAATCTTTTTATTTGGGTGAAGTTTAACTTAAGGTATTCCTGCATTTATACAAAAATAAATACAAACATTAATAAAATAAATGACAATAAGACTAATAATATAAAAAAGTATAAATATTTAATGCAATTGATCTGATATTTGAATAAATACTATTTTTATTAGCAGAAGTGAAAGATACCCTTTTTTAATTTCAACACTGCGAAAGCAGACTCCTGATATGTTTTTTAAGTTGTCATATGTCAAAGGTTTGATTTCAAGGGGTAATATTATAGATAGATCGCATTGCTATCGGGGGTAAAATATTTTTCCATACTTCCTTGCGTTCCTGTTATCCTGATAGACAATTGTCAATAAAGCATTCCTACGTTTATACGAAGAAAGTCTGCTCGGTTTGTGGATTTCTTCTGTAGGATTGATGATATTATGATGATATGATATTAGGAGCAAAATATTTTTTCCATACCGCCCTGTGTTTCTGTTATCCCGATAGCAAATTGCTACTCATGAATATTGACATTTCTACGGCAAAATTCTGAAGGTCCAATTGGTGGATTTCGGTTACTGAAGATCTTGTATTAGTATCGTAAAGTTGACGTATGCTACTGCTATTCATGAATTTCAAGGCTTCTAGGATGAAAGTTGTCATTGGATTTGTGGATTTCTATCAGGATCACAGAAACGACAAGAGGTGTTCATAGTAATTGATATCAGAGGCATACCATTTTTTCCATACTTTCTCGCGTTTCTATGATCCTGTTATAGATAGCCTTGAATAAGGAATATGTATGTGATTGAACATTGAGGAAAGTTTGTCTGATGCCTCAATATTTTTTTGATTTTGGTTGTTAAAGATTCTGTATTAAAATCGTAGAAACGGTGAGGGGGAACGAGTCATTTCATATAGGAGCAAAGCACTATTTTCTATACCTCCTCGATATGGATTTCAACTGTAAAAAAATTTGTGCACCACATTCATATTTTTTTTAAAATCTGACATCTACCATTTTTTCAAAGTAATTGAAAACGTCAAGTGATCACACTTTTCTTTTACATAAATTGAAACATTTTTATATTGGGTTTTTCATATAGTTTTGGTAGAGATAAATTATAAAATGACAGACGAAACATGCTTGGGACGTTTTTATTGTAGCGATCATTAAGTAATTATAGTTGTAGTTCCGATTGGTAAATAGGTTCGAGAATTTTGTCCAGCTCTATCTCCTTAGTTACCCCTAGCAATACTTCATCAAGGATCTCGTCGGACATTCTGCAAAAAACAACATCCATATGTTATGAGCATCATAAATTTTAAGAAATCGATTAACTGTATATTCCACAGCACAGATTATGAAGTATTACACTGATATTTAGTATAGAAGGAAGAAGCCAGTACTTCAGAGAATATGAAAAGTAATTGTACTTACTGCCCCATAAGCTTCCATGGCACTATATTTTGGGTCTTCCTGTATATAGGATTGTTCTTCTGATACTTCTTGTAGTCCAACTTATATTGTATAACATTCACAGCGTATTCTTTGGGAAGCATCTTGAGGCACTTTTGTTGCTTCTTTGCCGACCTTCTCATTTTTAAAGCGGATCTAATGAGAGAAAAATAGTTATTAAATACGCCAAGAGACGCGTAAACGCTAAATTAAAAAATCTAGAGTAGTCTTTAAGTGGATATAAAAAAGAATAGATTGGTCATACCGCATTAATACGAGAATTTCTGCTGTTAATAATTTTGTAACAGGATCGCAGAAGCGTAGAAGAATCCCTTCTATACCTGCTCAATTTCTGTGACCCTGATAGCAAATTGCTTCTCATAAACTTTGACGATCATACGAAAAACTGTCTGATGACTCGATGTGTGGATTTCGGCTACTAAATATTTTGTATTAATGTTGCAGAAAATACAGAAGGTGTTTACGTCAATTGATATTAGGAGCGAAGCATCTTTTCCACACCTCTTGGGTTTCTGTTATCATCATCGGAGATTGGCACTCATTAATTTCGACGCTCCTATGAAAAAGTCTGGCAGCTGGATATGAGGATTTCAGCTGTTAAATATTTTGTATCAGGATTGTAGAAACGAAAAGAGATGTTCATGACAGTTGACTTCAGGAGCAAATAATGTTCCATCGCACTTTTGTGATCCTGACAGAAAATGGCTGATCATGTATTTTGAGGCTTCTGCGAAGTGCATCTCGTGTCTCGATTGGCGCATATGTGTTAGAACCAACTGATATCAGGAGCGAATCACACTTTCCATACCTCCTTCCGTATGTGATAATGATAGCAAATCTCGTTTGGTGCTTGTATGAAGAGATTCTGATGGCTTGATAAGTGGATTTCGACTGTTAAAGATTCTGTATTAGGATCGCAGAATCGCCCTGATGAACTGATATTAGGAGCAAACAATTTTTCCGTACCTCCTCGTGCATCCGTGATCTTGATAGCAAATGGCTAGCCATCAATTTCGATGCTTTCACGAAGAAAGTCTGATGGCTTGGTGTGTGGATTGACTATCAAAATTTGTTAAGGTCGCAGAAGAAACAAGGAGTGTTGTGCCAATTGATATCAGGCAATAAACATCTTTATATACCTCCTCGGGATTCTATAATCCTGATAGCAAATTAGTCCCTATAAATTTGGATGCTTTATCGGAAGATGTATTAGAGCCGCAGACGAAATCGTGTATATCATTTTCAACAAACCTTTGTGTGGACTTGTCAACCTTTGGGTTCTCTTCTAACTCAGTCTGCGTTTGAGAGGTAGAAGTAACCACTTTGACAGGCGGATCTTCATCATCACTCTCGCAGTCTTTTGCTCCCGAATCAGAATCTTCGTCTACAGAGTTGTCATCTTGGATACAGATCAGCTTTGCATTTTTTGCTCCGGTTACAGCGGTCACAGTGGGCCTGTAAATATTAAAAAATACTTGATGTAAGTCCATTATATAATATAGTGCTTCAGCAGAATTATATCGGCCCGGGTATCACGTATCCTGAAAAGTGGCATTACGCTGATTTTTTTTGACATTGTGCTGTTTTTTTGACATTATGTGGGTTTTTCGCCAAGACGTTGACTTAGCACTTAGTTGTACGTGTTGCCTAAACGTCATGAGGCCTGTTATCAATCTTTGACTCTGATGTGATGTAAAATCTGCTTCTGAGATGGCATTACTGGAGGTCTAAGCTGTAAGTTGTATGTGTTGATGATAATTCCATTGGATTCTTGTCTCAAATACACTTAATTGACATTCAAAGCTAGAAATTAATTGGGCAGCCACTTTTCCTTATACATTCTGGTAATTACACATAACATACAAATTTGCTGAATTTAAAAAATGAAATAGATAAGAAATAATTACGTGCACTGTCCACTGTCGAATTACAAGGCATATACATGCTAACAGTAATTACACACAACGCGGGCACGCTGATAATTTCCTGCAATTCTCCTCAGCTTTTCGTAATTTATAACTTTGAACATAACCTCTCTTCAGAAAGCACAACTTAAAAATCACCCATCGGGCGGAGCCAATACATATACTTCATTGGCAGCATATTCAGTAATGATTTTCTAACACAGCAAATATAATAATCATCATCATCCAGATGAGATCTTTCTATTCAACCAACGTTATTCTCAGAGATAAAAACTATAGACCACTCGGTCTCATAAAACATATGCAACCAATAATGCGTGTAGTTTAGTTGAGTGATTCCTCCATAGATGGACGTTCACAACGATCCTAGTGAGCAAACATGGAATGACTGTTTGCGCCTGAAAAACTACCTAGTTTGCAAGATGACATCTTATAGGTTTTTTGACGTTTTATAGGTTTTTTACATGATACCCGTAAGGATAATAACAACAAAAAAATTCAATTCTTACGAAAATAAATCTACCTAGAAATGAAAACAACAACTGAAACGATAAAGCATTGTCAAATAGAGTGTTCTAACCTTACTTGCAAAATTTGAGTTAATGTTGATAACCAGTTTTCAGCTTGTAAAGTGAATTGTGAGGAAAAATGACAAAAGCATCGCAGTGCTATACCATTTCTCACAGAAGAGTTCCATAAGCAGAAAACAATTCTAGAGATAATGGTTACGGTCTATGGAGATGGAGCACAATGATATTACCCAATAAAATTTTGGTAGAAACAGTTTCGATGGGGAAGTGAATCCATAGAAGGCGACCGCAGAAGTGGACGACTCAAAACATAAAATATGATGCAATGACTCAAAAAGTTGACCCAACGTAATAACCTTCTTGCACGATAATTTGAACAAGGGTAAAGTGTCCACGACTGTTGACATCTGAACAAAAATTGCACAGGTTGGAAATTTCAGAAAGTCATTTGGAAACTTTCACCAACGATTGTTATTGTGGCACAAATTGTGTCGGACGATGAGACTTCGGTGCATCATTAGGATCCTGAGAAAAAACTGAATCCAAGCAGTAGGTTCATGAAACGTTTCCACCCCCAAACAGGCATGGACGCAAGCCTCTGTTGCAAAATTGAAGGCAACAGTTTTTTGGGAGCAGGGGCAAACTTCTCATTAATACGCTGAAAAATTTACGTAAAGACCAGATTTTTCTAATCGAGGAATTAAGTGAAGAGACTGGCAACGTAGCGTTTGATCTAGCAACACTGGAGGTGTCAGGCTTCGAGGGGAGACGGCGGGATATGTGATCCGCCTCCAGTCCAAGCTTGAACTCGCTCGAGTCATTTCGTTGTCCATAGCAATTTTTTTTGTAAAACAGACTTGGGTACAGTGCAACGGAAACTCTTACTAAATTTCAGGAGGGAGAGAGTCGATTGAAGATGAACCACGAAGTGGAAGGCCTTCATCTTCAAGAAACGATGAAAATATCGACAGAATCTCGGATTTTGTGCCTTCAGATCGTCGGTTGACAGTCAGGCTGATCGGGAAAGAGTTAAATTTGACTCAAACCACCGTTCCTCAGATCACGCTTCACGACAATGCTCTTTGCCGCACAGCAATGTCACTAAATGAGTTTTTGGCCAGTAAATTATTCCTGTGGCTCCTCAGACTCCTTATTCGTTTGACGTGAGTCTTTGTGACTTTTTTCTCTTCCCGAAGTTAAAAAATCACCCCAAGGGAATGCATTTTGGGACAGTCGAAAACATTCAAACGGATGTAACCGACCAGCTGAAGGCTATTCCAGTATCGGAGTTCCAGCGTTGCTATGAGTGGAACAACCGTCTCCAGCGCTGAGTGGCTACATAAGGAAGTTATTTTGAAGGTGACAATATACAATTGTAATTCTAATAAAAAAAAAAAAAATCAGTCTCATTACTTAATTAACAGACCTCGTAGACCAGTCCGGACTTGACCCGGTTTTATCTCTTTAGGTTACTGAAGAAAAATCTTCGAGGACGCCGTTTTGACTCAGACGATGGCCTAAAAGCAGCCGTCGACGACTTTTTTGACAGTCAGGAGGAAATACTTTTTTATAAGGAAATAAGTTCCCTGGAGGAGAAATGGAGCTAGAGCATTGATGTAGGAGGAATTATATTGAAAAATAAAATCATCAAAAAGTCACATGTCTTTTGTTTGTCTCACGGCGCTTCATGAGTTTTTAGACTAATTTTTACTCGAAAACAAATTTATTGATGGAATCAGGTTCACAAGGAAATAGCATTTGAGACAGTCAGGTGTGGAAAATCACATCAGGCATGTGGTGGCCGAAATCGTTGATGCAGTCCTGGAGGCGTTCTTGGAAGTTCGCGTAGACTCTCTCCAACATCGCTCTCTCAACTTGGGCGACTTCAACGCGAATTTCGCCCTTCAATTCGTCCAGAGTTCGGGGCTTGTTCGCGTATACTCTAGCCTTGAGGTGTCCCCATAAGAAAAAATCGCATATGGATAAATCTGGGGACCGAGGAGGCCAATGAACATCGCCAAACCTGGAAATAAGGCGACCAGGGAAGAGAGGGCGAATAACGTCCATGGATGCTCGGGCTGTGTGGGCGGCCACCCCATCCTGCTGGAACCACACACGTCGGATTGGAACACGTCGCCGACGTTGTTGTTTCCGGGCAGATCGAGTTGTACTGCGAAGAAAGACCTGTCGAACGCGTTCAACATTTTCAGGAGTTCGAACTGTTCGCGGCGCTCCTCTTGGTCTTCTGTTGATCAGTTCACCACGCCTGAGAAGTGATTCAACCCAACGAAGGTTGGTGTTTAGAGAGGGAACAGCTCTTTTCCGATGAATGTTGAAGTGGCGACGAAACTCACGCTGTACGACGATGACTGACTCATGATTTCGGACGAAACAATCATAGGCGAAAACGCGGTGCTTCACCGTCCTGGGCTCCATAACGACAACTGGTAAAATAATGCTAGGATCTCACGAGTCAAACGGCACCCTCCCCACCTATCTCGTAGACGGAGGCGGAGAGTACTACCCATCCCAAAAACGTCCGTCCTCTCTGCCGCACCCTGTATAAAATGATGCATTTTCTTCGCTTGTAATGACGGTATATGAAGATGTATATTTTTCCAGGCTTACTATAACAACATTTTGAAAGTCCCATCTGTGTCATTGTGATCTAGATGAACACTTGTTTATTGGGTAAGTAGGGTGCGCAGATTTTTAATACAAAGGTTTTTATATCTCATAGAATAGGGGCTGCATCTTTCTTGAGCTCACACAGAGTATCCATTGAGCGCGCGCTTGACTAACAATTAAAAAACAAAGGCTTACAATAACAATATCAACTAAAATTCTTTAAGATTTTGTTAATGGGTATTAGAAAAATATTTTGGAAGATTGGCAACATTAAAATTTCATATTGTTTTTCGGGGTCGAAATTTGCATCTATCACACTTTTTATTCAAATCGCTGATGTCTCTAAGACTATCAAGTTTAGAAAAAAGTTAATAAGGACAAGGGCGTACCCAGCTCAAACCAGAAGGGGGAGGGGTCAGCTTCAAACATTTTTCGGTGGAAGTTCCACAGATCATACTCTACTCTGCTTGACATGCTTTTCTGTTTGGATTTCAATGTCTTATTCATTATTCTTCCACGGGGATTTGAAAATTCATATGGATATGGAAAACTACTAGGACTACTTTTTGAAACGTTCATGCAAAGTATTGCGCGAGTTGCTTACTAACAATATTTAGTAGTTTCCGAAAATTGTATATACCCAGGTCTAAAATTCGTCATTTCTGAGTTATATGATCTTTTTAAAATTTTTTTTGGCGTACATCTCTCTCAAAATTTATACCAGGTGATCATTTTTTCAGTGTCAGCAGGTCAGGAAGGTACTGTAATCGCGAAAAAACTCAAATGAAAGGAAGATTTCAGATATTTCCTGGTTATATATATATACAGGTATATATATATATATATACAGGGTGACTTCGAAGTTGAGTTATTTATTTTAACAGTGAGTAGATCTGATCAAAAGATTTTTTTTGTTCCTTTAACATTTTTGTGGTAAAATTAAAGTAACAAAGTTATAGCCCTTTAGAAGTTTGAGTACCGCCCTGTCTCAATAATAATATTATGTGCTCGTGTTTGGCAACAACGGATATACTCCGCCTTATCGGTTCATCGCATCGGAAACAAAAGAGCGAAAGAATTTGAAACGCTGATCACGATGTTTTTATTCAGTCAATGTGTCAGTCGGTAACGCGTGAGTGAATAGTGGTGTTTGCTGCGTGGCTCAAGCGAAATAAAAAATGACACATATTTATGCGGATCGGTTTCCCAATCGAGTGCAACCAACCCCTCGTGCCTTTGTTAATGTAGTACAACGGGCTCGTGAATCAGGTGACTTAAGACCTCACAGGGGAAAGCATGCCGGTGCTCCAAGACCTCACGATCAAATACAGGTCCGCACTGAAATACTTGTTGGGAGGATACTTTATAAAACAAGGTAAATTTTTTTTTATTTTTACACACATATTTTGCTTTATCTTCCTTCTACAATCATTATCTGAAAATTAATGACTCA